TTGCTATTGCTATTGCTATTGCTATATTGCAATAAGACAGCCATTGTGGTATAATGGTGGAAATGTTGGACTGGCCTCAGGGAGACACAGGATCTAATCTACTTTCAGCCACAAAAACTTCCTGGTCAGCCATTCTCACTTAGCCCAACCTTTTTCACAAGGGGATAGTTGTGGGAAAGACTTGGAGAAGGAGCAGATGCTCCCTTGAGCTCCTGTACAAAAGGTAGGATATAAATCTAAGAAAGTGTGTGTGTCTGTGTCTGTCTGTCTATCTGTCTGTCTGTCTGCCTGTAGTCCAAAATTTGGAGCCTTTGGATTATAACATTTTTAAAAAATATTTACCATGCTGTGCTGTATAACTGCTTATGAAAAAGAAATACTACTGCATTCACTTCTGCATAATGTTTTTTTTAATTGAGACCTGACCGAAAAGGCTTGTCTGCTATGCCATGTGCTTTGGCACTTGGCTATGAGCCCAGCAAGCTGCTGTATTCCGTAATAGTAACTAAACAAATCATTGTTTGGCAAGACACATGGATTGAGTCAAATTCTACTTCCAAAACTGACAATGTTCTTCTATCAAAGAACTTCTGTATTTTTCACCAATTTTCTGCCAGGCCCTTCAAATGCTCCATCAGTTCCATCAAATTGAGGAACAATTTTAAATGTCTACTCAAAAGTCCCATTGAATCACCCATTGGATGTGGGTGTAGAATTGATTGTACTGTGATTGGAATTGATTTCACTGTACTTATACAATAATAATACAATACTTGAAGTAATTTAACTGGAATTGATGTAACTAAGATTATCCCTGTTGATTGCAACAGATTTACTCACTATGCAACTACATTTGGTTCCAATCCATTATGCAGCATTGAAGAAAGCTTAATCTGTTGACTTTCCACTTAATTTAGGACCTCCCCAGAAGCGTAGAAAACCAAGAGCAATGAAATATTTGCTAGGAGCAGTTGCAATGCACTCTAGAGCTGTTGCAGATGGCATCCCTGTGATCTGCAGCGCTAACTCTCCACTTGCTCCAGATGCTCTGCAGTAAGGCTTGCTTTCTTCAAAGAGGAGAAATCCTCACTAATGAGGTTGTTAAAAATACTGACTACAAAAGAGGCAGGCTAGAGAAAAATCTTCATTTCCGCGGAGAGGAGAGCCAGCTCAGGCTTCACAGTTTGGGAGGTGTCAAAAACCTTACTGAATAATTAACATAACAATTAATTTGAAGCAGAAAACTGCATTCTCTAACTGCAAGTAAAGACCCAAGGCTACAAACACTCTTTCAATGATATTGCATATCTGACATTATGGAATTTCATCCAAAACTAGGGATTGCCAGATCTGGTCTGCAAGAACCTGGTTGACCCTAGATATCAGCCAAGAAATGTTGACATTTCTTGGTGGCCATTCAGACCTTGGAAGGCCAGATCTGGCTAATCTCATGTTTAACCAAATATGCAGGAACAAATGGCTATGATTCCTTCATCCTTGATTTTTACAATACCTGATT